CGAATACTATATTGTGTTGTGGTATTGGATACTGTATCATACTTGCATTAAGTATAATGCTGCTTTGAGAAGTTAAGGTGCACAGTAATGCTTTTGAAGGAGAAGATTGAGAGATGGGCAGTATTCAGAGTGGATGTTGGATGTTATGGTTGAATGTTACCAGAATGGACAGTATGTCGCAGATTACTGTACTTAGCAGGATGTGAAATTAGATGTGAGTGATGGCTGGTGAATAAAGAACTGAAAGCGATATCTGACCTGGGAATCGAAGGTCGAGGAGACGGGAGTGGGGGGGGGGTTAGCAAGAGTACATAGTGTAAGTGAGCAATCTTAGTTGGGGATGATGAAAGCTTAGCATTTAATGGTGGCAGGAAGGATAAAGGATTTTCACTCTCTTTCTTTCTTTCTTTCATCCCCAACCAACATGAGATGAAAAAAAACACAAAAACTGAGACTTCTGAATAAGGAGGATAGCTCTAAGAAATTTAGTGCAATAGTCATTTATTAATTCTTTTTATAGACACAGAAAGAGTTATTATATATCACATTCATAATAAAAAAAAATGTGTGTGTGTGTCTTTGTGTTTGTGTATGCATGCATTGTTGCATGTGCTCGCTGCATCTCAATAGATGTGAAGTTCTGCATCTAATGTCACTGTTAATGAAAAGTTTATCACTTGCATATGAAATTTCCCAAAGTGGTAGTGTTAATGACTTGTTTCTATAACGAGCCTTAGATGTTTTTTTTATTCATACATTCCTTATCCAGTTGGTATTCTTTTTAAACATTAGATTATGCAAAATATATATTCGTAGTTATACAAAATGAAAGTAGCAGCTCTTGATTGATAAAGGAAATAAGTTAAAATATGATACACTGCCCCAACTAATATCAAATACATTTATTCTTATTTTGTTTACAATAGACACCTGGAATGTATTCAGGAGCAAAGACAGTATTAAAATTTATAAGTGTATGAAATATCCAAGCACATGCATAACTGATAGGAAAGGCAAATGAAGGGGGAGAAGGACTGAGAGTTTGCATGAGAGTGAGAGTGAGGCAATGTTTATGTTATTATAAGAGGTGTATGAAATGTCCAAACACCTGCATGACAGATGGGAAAGGGAAATGAAGGGGGGGAGGGACTGAGAGTTTGTATGAGAGTGAGAGTGAGAGTGGTAAAAGGAAAGAAACAGGGGAATGTTATGTAAATAGAAGTTTCAAATTGAATATTTTGTAATACAATGGGTTCATGTTTTGTTTTGTATCATTGGTTTCATTTATGAAACATATAAAAAGATAGAATCATATTGATGTATATTTCTAGTTTCTTTAGTGTTTCCTTATCTCTTATACAGTTAGAACACTAAGATCACTAAAGTTATGTTGATCTAGAGTTTGTTAAGCATTTTTATCTACGAGACACATTTTTCAAAGATTTTTCAAATATGATCATCATTCAAAAATATTTTCTTAGTTTGGTGTCCGTAACAGTCAGTAGAAGAACCAGGTCAGTGTTAAATGACAGCCAGAGGATCAAGACGTCAGCTGTATCATTATGCAGCTAGGGTTTTGTACCACACCCATGCCATGTGCAGAAGGGGGACACGCCTTTTCTTATTCTTTTCCTGCATATTAGTCTCCAGTTTTGTTTGTGGGAATTGATTGCATTTTATTCTTCTATTTTGTTTACCTCTTATTTTTTGCTGTATATTTTTTTCCCCTTTTTCTTTCTTATTTTTCCTGTACCATCCTCTCTTTTTTTTCACTTATTTTCCCCTCATTCTTCCTTTCTTTCTCTTTTTTTCCCCTTTGCTATCCTCTCCCTTTTCCTTTCTTTTGTCTTTTCTTCTCTGTCATTCTGTTTATCTTTTGTCTTTATCTTGTTCTTCATGTTTGTCTGTATCTTTGCTATTCTTTTCCTAGTATTATTGTTGGAAATATAATTATAACTATTATTACTGGTATTTTATTGTTTGTAGAGACTATTATTGTTCTTATTATTTTTGTCATTATTGTTTTTATCAGAATCAGTACTTTTATTGTAATTATTATTATTATTATTATTATTTATTTTTTATTTATTTTTTTCTTCTTCTCTTTATTATTATTATTATTATTATTCTACTTCTTCCTCCTCCTCCTTCTTCTCCTCCTCCTCCTCCTCCTCCTCCTCCTCCTCCTCCTCCTCCTCCTCCTCCTCCTCCTCCTCCTCCTCCTCCTCCTCCTCCTCCCCCCCCTCCCCCTCCCCCTCCCCCTCCCCCTCCTCCCCCTTTTCTTCTTACTCCTTCTTCCCCCCCCTCCTCCTCCTCCTCTTCCTCTTACTCCTCTTTTTAATCTTCCTCTTCCCCTTACTCCTCCTCCTCCTCCTCCTCTTACTCCTCTTTTTAATCCTCCTCTTCCCCTTACTCCTCCTCCTCCTCCTCCTCCTCCTTTTCCTCCACCTCTTCCTCCTCCTTAGAGTCAGGAGTTATTCTAAATTACTGTATAGGAGAA